TATCGTGAATATACATATATATATATATATATATATATATATATCTTTGAAATATGAACTATATTTTAATCATTAGATAAAAAATTTCCGATAATATAGCGGCGTGTTTAAATGAAAATATATAGTATCTTCAATCTTACTAATTACTTTAAGTGTTTCGAAGCAAAAATTAATCAATTAAATAAATCGAGTAAATTGCGATAAAACTGCATAGACATTGTTGATAATGACATCAACCAACACATACATAATTCTCAATGAATTCATCAACACATTTTGACATACACTGTCTTTTGTCACTCGATCTGTCACGTCTGCTTTAGCAACAAAAACCACCTCGGATTATTATTTGTTTTCACACGCGTATGCGAAGGTTGGTTTGCATTTTATTTCTCCACCACGAATTCACGCACACAGAGAAGCTTTAGCGCATAAAATTAAACGAATATGATGGCCAATTATGCAATGCGTCATATCGTCAAAAGTCATCTGCATTCGCTAGATAGTCTGTTTATTTTACAAATTTATTATTAGTGTTACTGGACGCATTGTATTTATGCATTCGAAGCGAAATTTGATGAATATACGATGAGTCAGTCTAATTATTTAATGATGTCCCAGTGATTTCTTATTAGTAAAGGTATTATCGTTACGTATAAATCCTTAAATTAATTCAACTAATAATTAATTGTTCAAGAACGAATTATTTAACTTGGAATAGTTTCAATATATTTTTAACGAATTCAAATTTTCAAATTGGAATACATTCAAATTGAGAAAGAAAGAAAGAAAGTTATATAAAGGTGAAGTTTACATTAGTTATATGAACAAAATTAATGAATAGTTGTATGAGAATAAACTGTTTGAAACTATTTCAATTAGTGTACTTCAGGCTATTTACTTCCAAATCTTGCACTTTATACTGGCTTTTATATTAAACAAACTAATACACGAACAACGAACAAATTTATTTTTCCTTTAATCGGAGAATAGACTGACTGGGTATCATGATTATTGAATTCGGACGGTAATACAGTAGTCGCTCAATTCTAGCTGCGACTGATAACAAAAAATAAGTAGTTATCCATAGAAGAAAGACATAATCGTAATGTGAACGTTCAACATCTTAAATTACAAATACGATAATAATAATAATAATAATAATAATAATAATAATAATAATAATAATAATAATAATAATAATATCGAAGGGAAAATTCGAGAGGCATTTTATGCATTTTTAGATTCGTAGTTTGTGTCACTCAGCAGGTTGTATGCATTTTAACTACAAAACCAAATCATAAATCATTATTTGTATAAATGTTAGTCTGCATTTAGCTCCACCGTCGGCCACGAAAATTCGCACTCGCGTATCTGACTGGGAAATTTCAGTGCATAAAATTGAACAATACGACAAGCAATTATACAGTGCATCGTATTAGCCAAAGTCAGCTCTATACTTTTTGTAGTTTGTTTATTTGCTGAATTTATAATCGGCATCTTTACGAGTGTATTTTCGCGTTCGATACGACATTTTATCTAATACACTGCCAGCCATTTTTTCTTTAACTCTGTGATCTAATTAATTCAATCTTACTATACTCAGCCTCGTTACAGTTTATCATCTACTATTGTGCAATTTTTTTTTTCTATTACTGCATCAACGATAATGTGAAATAAGAGAAATATAATCATCAAACAAAAAGTACAAACAAGTTTTTCAACATATTAAATAAATGTAAAATTCATATAATGACGAACGATGCTTTTAATAAACGATAATCTATATTTATCATCCAAGATCACACGGTAATATTTTACGTTATTATGTAAATTTTATTATATAAAACACGTTAAGTTAATTTCTTCTAGAAATTGGACGAAAATTTTGGACACACTATAAACATACTTATAATTAAATAATATAACAAGAGAGTCCTTAATAAGATGTTTAAAACTTAGTCATCAACCGTAAAGAGAAAATTCTCTATGACTTTATTTAACTTTGTAATATAAATTTCATCCCGCAAATTATTGTAACAAACTTTTGTTTGTTACATTAAATAATTTGTAATCTATCGTCAGCGATGCTCAATGAACTAACTACTCTTCGCAAAATAATACCTTTTAATCATAATATCAAATAAAAAGATATTTCTTTTCTGTAAATTAAATTATTCATTTTTCAAAGCATTTATTAATAGGCATAATTATCTAAAAACACAATTTAAAAATTACAATTTAAAGGATAGGCAGAATTAGGAAGTTTATAGCTACGTTTTTATAATGAAAACATTTTATTCGTATTCTTGTATCTATTGGGAAATTAATGATTTTTCTAAATCGACAAGATGTTGTAATAAAAGGAATAAATATAATATGTTCAGGTAGATTCAGAGGGAGTCTTTCGGGTTTCTTATTGCTTGATATTGAATTAAAAATATAGCGGTGAATTTAATAAGCAACTGTGTTTCTATATATCCGTATATATAAAAGGACAAAAAGAAAATAAATAGCTAATGACGGTTTTCACGTTGATTTCAGTGAATTTGTTTTTAAATTATTTAGCAAAATTCTTTTAATGCTTTCTTTCAATTTGAAATACAAAAAATTTATTCTAAGGAATATACTTGCATAAATTCTAGATTGTTTAATTTTATGTCAGTCGTATTATAAATTGTTCGACATGTTTTGAAATCCATAAATCTTTTGAACTTAACATTCACCGGATAATCATATTTAAAATCATAACTATATTGAAATTTGTTATCTATTATTATCAAAAAACTCTGTCGTAAAAACTGTATATGTATTATGTAAATGTATAAAATGTTTAAAAACCATAAATCTGTAATTAAATGTAAATTTTTAAGTATATAAATGCTATAATAATTCTCATTACTTGAACTTTATAGTTAAAATGAATTTTTTCAAATTATTGTAAAATAAATAAAATATGCCAAAAAACTGCGTAGTGATTTTGCAAATTTGCTTATTTATGTTTTAGAATATGACAAACAAGTTTGAGAAAATCATATATACATATATATGTGTGTGTGTGTGTATGTGTGTGTGTGTGTGTGTGTGTGTGTGTGTACACATTGAATTTCAAACAGCTACTTTCTTTTTTATAAGGTATTAAGATATTCCGCGTTTTCACTGTAATTCTACACTTCTATACTATTAGTATTTGTCTAATAATTTCCCTACCTATCGCTAGTAAGAAATATTTGATCACATAAGCCAAATAATAATAGCTTTCTAAATATAGAGACAAAAATTTATAAGTAAAATTAATTTTTATTCCCTTCACAAACAATTTCTTTATAAACAAAAAATAAATGATAAACAGCTATTCGATCCTAATCAACTTTATATATTATTTATGTACTTTCGTCTTAAAAGGAAATCCAAATAATTGATTTTATAAAGAAAACAATGCTTATAAAGGCATTTCACATAATACTACACAATGGACAATTTTGAATATATTGTGATCGCTTTAGCTTTTCCGTCGAGGTTCACCGTTAAAAAGATAATCGGTGAGTACAACTATGATCGTCCCAATACATTGCTGAATATATATAATGACGTATTGTATAATGCAAGACTTTTATCAATAAGTTAAAACTGTATTATTATTCCCTAGATGAGCCAGTTATTTTTATGCACGCAAGATTTTTTTGTATAGTTGTACAATTTACTGGGAGAAATGTGAAAAATAAACAACATGAATGTTTGAAGATGAATATATGTACTTTTAGTGAAAATGTTGTTATGTAAAATAAATATATCAATTTATTGAAAGGTTAAAATTTCTGTATTAAAAATATTAATTTATCAACATTCTACCCGATGTAACAATAATTTGATATTAATATACATACGTATATATATATATATATATATATATATATATAAGAATATTCAACGAATAATATTTTTAATGTTTTTAGCATTTTATATCTGCCTCTGATATAAAAGTTTATATAAATGAAATTATAAGTTTTTTAATTATCCACATGTAATGTAATGCTGATATCAGGTAATTAATAATATAAAGCTTTTGAAAAATTAAAATTAGTTAATTTACCTCCTTTTAGCGTGTTCATCTTCTGACATATAATTGTTAAATATTGAAATTGCAATTACATTTATAATAATTTTTTTTTCATTTATACGTATACTTATATTATATTTATATATAAAATGATAGCGGATAATACACTTCTGTAGCCACAAACATATTAGTTAATTACGCCATAATATTGAATACTCGACTATGAACAATAAATTTACGTTATTTTATTGATTGAAAAATCTTCAAACGTTATCGATATTTTTTTTTATTTTTTCACGCATCTTGCATATCATAAAAAAATAATACAATAATACAAACGCCATTCAAATTCATCTAAAAATACTACAGAGGTTTAATTATTAATGAAATTATCCAATAATGTTCAAACGAGAGTAATTGAAATTACAAAAAATCAATACGAATATTATGCTATATTATATAAATAGAATACTTTCTCCATTCATTTATTAATGATCGTTCGTACTGCCATGAAATACGAATACGATAAATAAAATATCTAAAAATTGTAATGTAAATGAGATGATTGCATAAATTTATGAGAATTTAAAATATAAAAGAAAGACAGCCTACTCTTCCAATGTAATGTCGGTTAAGTTTTGGCATTAGGCCATTTACGTGTATTCTCGGTAACTTTTGACATCTTTGAATAATCATAATTTTCACAACAACAGCTTTTCGAGTTTCCGCAAACCACGATGTCGAATATATAGTGCGTTCGATATCAGCAGTCTATAATAAAAATAACATATAAAAAAAAAAACGACTAGAATGAAATTACTATAGTAATGCTATACACAATATAAAATAATATTTATTCATATGTATTTATTAATGTCATTGCTGTAAATAAAACTTTCATTCGCAATAGAGGATAATTTATATACGCATTAATACTTACAACTGTTGCCATTGTTTCGGCACTTTCAGCCGATATAAAGAGCCTTAAGTAAATCAACACAATCGTCAGAAAATTATTCATTACTTCAAAATTTGATACCTTTGGCTTAAAATCGTTATTAAAATTATGATCATTATTTATTATTATTTATTGTTATTTATTGTTATTATTATTACTATTATTATTATTATTATTATTATTAGTAGTAGTAGTAGTAGTAGTAGTAGTAGTAGTAGTAGTAGTAGTAGTAGTAGTAGTAGTAGTAGTAGTATTAGTAGTAGTAGTAGTAGTAGTAGTAGTATTGTATAAACGTGAGTATATATAAATATAGAGAATACATGCAACTGATGGACTTACGTCAATAATTTGCAGTCCTACGCCGATACTATAAGACATGAAGCATATAATACTTTTCACAATCATAATTCCAACGAGCACATTCGTTTCTTCTATTAAACTATAAAAAATAAAAATATATCAATAATGAAAAATTCTTGATGAATTATAATTAATACTACTAACAATAAAATATTTTGATGTTCACAAATATATTGCTTCAATTCCTTATTGATCTTTGCAGTTTTCAATTTCTTTTCCAAAAGTTTCAGTCGTACAGCACATACGTATGAAAATAATACAAAAATTCCATCTGTAACCATTACAACCGCCGTATGTGACATTGCGATAAATTGATTACAAAATATAAGAACTTTCAGCGCGGTTGATTCAATTGAAAATGGATATCGTGTTGTCGTGAGAATTGTAGATCGATCTGGTCTATTTCCATACATGTACATTACAATGATATATAATATTGCAATTGTAGACACTATAATCACATATAAATTCGCATTCTCTAATGAAATCGATGCTTCTGTACTATTGAGCTGATTTTTTGTAACACGCAATAATTCCTACACAAAATAAAAATTATATTAGACAGAGAGATTTCAAAGAGATAGAGAGATTAATCTGAAATCGGCCATTTTCATAAACGCTATTTCAGTAGACAAACCTACTTTTGCGAAACATATATATATGATAAAAGTCTAAAATTATTAATATATAACATTAACGAAATTAATTTATTAAGTAATAGTTTAAGAAAAAATATATATATTAAATTATAATTAATAGCGATACATGCCTTCAAACGTTTTTCTTGAATCTTGAAGTTAATTAATATGACCATACATTCCATCATACCAGTCATTTCCAGCCAAGTAATTGAAGCTAAGGTTACATTACCAGTATTATTATTCAGAAATGTATGAAAAGTCGGAAGTATTAGAATCAAATGATTCAGTAAATAAAACCACCATAAAAAACGATAAAAAATACAATGGGCTCTTGGACTGTTTGGTATTGGCCAGATACCAAAAATTTTCATACTCACGCACAACACACGAAATCCCATTTTTACAGTAAAACGTATTTTCATCTCTTATAATTTCTTCTACAAGATTTTCACTAAAAGTTAGATAGAATTTTTGTATGTAATGAAAAGAATTATATACTTTAGAATTTATGGTCAAGTGGCTGTTACAGAAGTGAGTTTAAAAAACTGAAGAACATCTTCAAATTCTTTGAACAACTATATGATATTTTACATTGATCATATTCTTTATCTATATCATGAAGTAATTAGCAGTACTCATAAATGAGAAATTAATTTCTGTTTTCATTTCTGTTTATAATTGTAGTTTAATTTAGTTCGCAGATGAGAAACTAATTGTAAAGTAAACATGTAAACATTACTGTAAGACCATTGTCGAAATTTTTAATTATAATTTATTAAGTACTTTAATTTATCATCAAATTTTCGTACTAAAACGTATAATAGAATTGTTTTTAAATAATTATATATCAGAGAAATTTTTTTATAAATAGTAAATGATGAACATAATATTACGCGAAATATGTATAAAAAATGTTATCATACATAATTAAAATAAAATAGATAATAACTACTTGTTTGTTTGATAGTTCAAGTAATATACAGATAATCTACATATTATATTTCAAATAATTTTCTTTTCGATCGTTGAATATAAATAAAAAATTTAATCCATAGTTTTTTAATCTACTTGAATTTCTTAGCAAGATATTAATTTTTATATATTGCAAATAAGATAATTTATTTTGCATTATTAATATAATATCATTTATAACTGTCAGCACTCCAAATATCTTATTTATTTATGCAATAAATGTAATCTATCAATATATATTTTGTATATATTTTTTAGAGTTTTTATATAGAAAAAAAACTGATTTGTAAAACCGAGTATGAGAGTATTAAAATGTAAATTTTACACTTAAGTTTAAAAACTCTTTATAGAATTTTGAAATATCCATATCAAATTATACGAGACTGTCTCAATTGATTCCATCAAAAATTTAAATTTAAATTCTCGCATCTTTGAATATTCAGAAATTAAAAACCGAGTAAATTGCGCTTAAAAACTTTAAATTTTGAATAAACAAATATTAGTATTAAAATTATATTTTCAAATTCAATAGGTAATATATATAATAACTAAATTGAAAAAGTGATTAACAGATATATATATATATATATATATATATATATATATATATATATATATATGTATTACAAAATAAATATCCAAAAAAATCATATAAACACATCTAACACGAAAGTTCAATGGATCATAAAGTATTGCAATTTTACATTTTATTTTTTTTTTTTTTTTTTTTTTTCCCCTCATAGAATTATACTTTTCGTACGAAAACTTTTAATATAGTATTTATTTATACACTGACACAGATACATAATTTAACACTTTTTTTCTTCAACATATTTTATTATATCCAGTTGATCAAAGCTCTTTAACACTATATTTTGATGACTTTGGATGTTATAAATACAAGCTATGAATTATTTTTGAAATAGAAGAAATATAAATTTTAGCTAGGAAAACAGTAATATGACTTTTACAGTCGGTTGCATATTATTGGCAATTTTATTTAAAAATATGTAAACTTAACCATACTAAATTTATATTTGTTGCTTATTTATTAGTTTTAATTAAAATTAACGCATACATGTTGATTTAGTTAACTGTAATGATCCATTTAAATAGAATAACCGTGTGAAAAAATTCTGCTGAAGAATTTTCCAGAAAAATACTCAATAATATTTTTAACGTTACAAAGTCTTTGAGTAAAGTATACGTTTGAGCGTAAATAAATATACGTAAAACTTTTAAAAATCGTACTATATCATATAACTAAATACTACGTTGTCATTCTATTTCATTATTCAAAAGCATTTATTCAACACTTAATAATTGTCATATCCATATCCGCAAATTACTACATTCACATACGTACATTTATTTATTCTTTATTCTTTCGTGTATTTTGTATGTACCATTAGTAGTATTTGTTAAAATATTCAATGATTTCATAAAAGTATTTACAAATATCTGTGTTGTTAAGGAACGAAGTTTTTGAACATTAATTTGTGTTTCTATTCGTTAATAACTCATTACGATACTACGCTCCGTCGTTTCAAAAAGCAAACCAAAAATATTATCAAAATTGTCCGCACCATCTATCAGTTTTATATTTTCTCGTTATGTTCTTTATTTCATTTATAGGATTTATATTATAATAGCATTTATACGCTAATTTTATATAGTAATCCGATGATGATATAGTAACAGAATTTCTAAGTCAATAAATTTCAAATGATAAAATTATTCTTTAAGTATTCAATATTTGTATGATATTAAACGTAAATAAAAAATGTTGTTCAAATATGAGTTAAAAATGTATTATTCCATCAAGGTTTAATTCATTTATTTATTAAAGAAATTTACTAAAATTTACTTTAAAAATATTACTGGAAAAATATCTAGCTCGTTTTTTTATTTTAAAAAAAAAAAAAAAAATTTCATATTATACAGTCTATGACAGTCAATTTATGATGGAATAAATTTAATTATATGTTGGTTAGAAAACTGCTGTATTGGTTAGTTAAATAGTTTAGTTAAACACAAAGACTTTTTGGATCATTCAGATTTTTAATAATCATCTACTTCAAACGACATTTCATTAATTTTATTAATATTTGTTCATCGAATACTTAATCGAACATAATTATGAGAAAGAATTAATTTCGATATATTTAAGGCAGCATAGACATGAAATAAATCGTGCAAGCATTATTTGAAGGATTAATAGAAAATTAATTCTTGAACAAATATATATTTAAATTAAAACTGTTTTCATTGTAAAAGTGTATATTGAAAATTATATTAAATTTCATAGTATATAAATGTATAAAATTATTTATAAACTAATATATAATTTTCTATCACATTCATGATTACGTCTATTTAATGAAATTTTGAATAATACCATGAAATCTCCATAAAAATTCGATAATCAGTCATAGGCAATTGATAATGATAACAATGTTGTTAGCCCAAACAAACATAACAAAAATATATAAACTACCTCATCGCTTTATCTTCCATGACGTTATCAAAGCAGCATAAAAAGCAAACCAAGTTTGTACAAGGCAACCTTCATCCCCGCTATACGGGGGTCAATGTTTATTGCCATTGTCAGCTTTAATCTATGAATATTTAAAAAGGTCTGGCCGTACTCTTGACCAAATTGTCTCATCGAAACACAGAAGACGATAAAAAGAATTATTAAAGCTCGTTTCTACGGTGGCACGAGGATCAACCTGTCGGCTCGATCAAAGAGAATTTCCTGTAGCTTGAAGTATAAAACGCAGCGCAGTAGCGAATAGCTCTCCTTTCTTTATTTTCTCTCTTTTTTTACCGCGCATTCTTGCACCACGGTGAGAGCGGAGAAGCAAGGAAATACCCTTTTTTTTTTTTTTTTTTTTTTTTTTTATGGGTACGACGAGGTAATAACTTTCGTACTTTAACACTTTTCTGTTTTCCTTTTTTTTGCGATTTTATTTCTCATTGTTGAGGAAAGGACGGCAGCTGTTGGACAGCTTACGCGAAAAGAGTCATTAATGTGACTAATTCATCAAAGAGCATTACTCTTATGTATTTTCTATAAGAACAAGTACGCGTGTTTCTATTAATGAAGTTATTTGTAGAAGAAGTTCATATGTAAGCGTAAATAGAGATTAGATACTCTTAAAGAGATTGTATTGTAAACATGCACATGCATAATTACCGAGAGATAATAACGAAAAAGAAATTTGGATTGAAACAAATCTATTTTTAATGCTTCGCTCGACATAATTTTAAAGAGAAAACTCACGAATACGCAAAATGAGACGGTTAATCGATTAAAATATTGGATATTCAGTTTCGAACCGCTCGTAATTCGCTTATATGATAAACTTTAATATACTTAAGAATTTATATTTATAAATTTATAAATATATCCCGTATTTATATACTGTCGTAATACTTCTGTACAATTTATTAAATATTTATCGAAATTAAACGAAAAATTTTCTACAAGTTACAAGTCTTAATAGGCTATAATTAATTTCTTACTATCTTTATAAAATTATTAATTAATATTAAAAATTCATAAAATACATTTTGACTAAATTAGCCTATATACGATATTTATAATTGCCCATATTTTATAACATATCGTTTTTTATTAAAGACAAAAGTGTCATTATAAATAAATAATGTGAAAAATAAATAGAAATCATCGGGAAGAATGAAAACAAAGTTCAATATACGATGATGAAGTTTGACGAATAATTTTAACGTTGATACTAATAATATTGGGATTAAATTAATGAACAATGTATGTATAATTACTAAACTATTGAAAGTGTAGAATAAATTTATTTTGATTATAGCTTTTCTCATTGTTTCCATTCTACCTCATTCTACCTATTAAATTTCAAAAGGTATACAAAAGATTATAACGTTATTCTATATGAATCATTAAGAATGACAGTTAGAAAAAAAAAACAAAAAAAAAAACAAAAAACAAAAAATGACCAAGGAGCTTGTTCAACATATGGCCAACATAACAACAATAAGAAAAGTTTTACGAAAATATATATATATATATATATATATATATGCATGTAATTTCGCGTCGACGATTATTCGTTTCGCGCGGAACCAGCAACTTGTGTCATTGCGTAAACCTGTAAAATTTCGAATCATCGTTAACGCAAATAAATTGTTTGCGCAATTTATCCAATCGAAAGAGAACGACAGGATTCGTTAAATTCGACGATTTCCTTTATCTTTGTTGGAAAGATTTGCCCTACACCGTACGCGTGTGCCTACCACCGAAATTAATCGGATCTACGAGAAGCCGTGGAAAATAATTTTTAACAAGCGTACATTAACAGCAAGCAACCGAGAAGAAAGTACTACGCGCAGCTGGGCAATTCATTTAAAGAAATTCGTTTAAAGAATCAGG